CCAGAATTCGCCATCTCATTCCATCATCTAAACGTTGGTAGTTACTCATTTTTACTGTTCCGATGTGAATTTAACCGATTGCTGCAAGATAACACCAAGAAATTCGCCGAGGTGTGCTAGCGAACGCAATTCGTCTTACCCTCCACGGGCTGCGTAATGGCAGACCGCACATTGAGTTGAACAGTGTTAAGCGAATTTCGCTTACTGCGCATGCTTGATGGTGTACCTTTGGCGCGGGAAGAAATATTGGCGACTAAAAGCAACCCTACGCTAGGTCATTCGTGACTAGCGTCTACATCCCAAACGGCAGCCTATGAGAGAGGCGATTCTATTATTTACATCGGGGAGTAGGGGAGTTACAATGGTTTTCTGAGGAATGCAACGACAGTGGACTATATATTTGCTTACATTTGGAAGTTCAAAAAATTGCTATGGTGGATTGCCTTAGTTTCTACGGATTTACCTTTATAATCCGTGTTTATCTATTTAAACTTCAGAAGATTTAAGATGAAGCGAATATATTCAACACAACAGAACACAATCTTAAGACTTGTAAATATTTTAAAAGACAACAGCAAATTTTTAAACATTACTGTAAAAAATATCTTCTCTTCTAATTATAATAAATAATGAGATAATGCACGGATGAATTGTTAATTATATGATAACTATACATTTATAAAAAAGTTTTTAATAATGAACTGTAAAGAATATTTTTAATTATCGATGTATTGTTTTTTAAAAGATTTACAAGTCTTAAGCTTGCGTTCTGTTGTGTTGAATATATTCGCTTCATCTTAAATCTTCTGAAGTTTAAATAGATAAACGCGGATTTATAAAGGTAAATTATCTATTTGCCCTCTATCAGCAAACCAAAAAAACTGCCTAATATTTGCCTGAAAGTAATCGCAGAAACTAAGGCAATCCAAATTTGCAATTTTCTGAACTTCCTAATGTAAGCAAACATCGTGCACTGCCGTTGGCGTTCCTCAGAAAACCGTTCTAACTTCCCTACTCCCCGATGAAAATAATAGAATCGCCTCTCTCATAGGCTGCCGTTTTGGGATGTAGACGCTAGTGTCATTCGTGATCTCCATGGCTGTCGAGTGATGTGTACAACTGCGATGTTATGGAACTGTGTTTATTAGTTATTTTAACGTTCATACCGATTGCACTTGCTTATTTTTCTAATATATGTTTCATTTTAATTTGTCTAACAGTGCATTTAATAATTGTTACCATATATTGTGCTTAATAATTCGTTATTTAGATGTAATTTGTTTACATGTTGTAATTCTCAGTATTGTAAACTGAATTTTCCCGCTTAGTTTGTTAACGTATATTCGCGCTTTTATTTCTTATTTAAAAGAATTAAATAAACAGCATTAAGGAATTGTAAAATTTCTTCAATTTTTTTCTCTTTTTTCAATTCTTTTCAATTTTTTTTTTTTTTTCAATTTTTCTGCAAACACTTGGTATATTTTTTACGTATGTCTGTGTTTCTTTGCGTATGTACGAATGTAACGTATGGTAAATTCTGAATTCTTTTTATTCCTTAAAAGTGTAACTAATATATCCTGAATTTCAGTCTTTTTCTGAGCGAAAATTCGTACAGTTCCAAAGTGAAGTGCAGAATTTCATAAGTATAACATCTTACATTTTGAATGCAAACACTGCTTCACATTATTTCGTAATAATTATTTACATCTTCTCCATCTATGCCTGTATCAATTTTTTCATCGGTTATTTATCAATAATTCCTGGTAGAATTAGAAATATATTATTAGAAAAGATTTTTCCTGTATCATCTGCAAGGAACAGAAATTTAAAGCGATGAATTATTGGAATGAATTTTAGCCAGCATTTGAAGTTATTTAGATTTCTGTTGCATTAAAAATTATTTAAAAGCTGCATAGAAATATTATTTTGAAATGCAAACATTTTAAGTGCCAAAATTAAAAGTATTTAAAAGGTAGCTATTGTCATTGATGTTAGATTAATTGACTTGTCAAGGGAAACAAACCAAGACTTCAGTACATAAACAATATATTTTCTATTCTGGGGGGTGAACATTGTTATTAATGGTGATATAATCAAATAAATAACAAAGAATCTGCAAGTGAAACGTATTTTACCATTTCTTTGAATTTAGATATTTTTCCGAATTTTCCAAGCATTTAAAAGAAATATATTTTACATATTTTGTAACTGTGAATGTATTCGTAATTCCGGAAGTTCTGAATATATGCAGAAACACATATTTCGGTCTATGACTTAGCTGGCTTAGTTAAGTTAAGAAATAAATTTTTCCTTTAATATTAACAAATGATTATATATTAATAAGAAATTGGTACATTTGTAATTCCCCCCAAAAATTCTTTAAGAGTGGCAAAATACGTACATAAATTTGATTCCTCCCCAGTATGTGTGACGAGTACGTTCCATTAGACTTCATGATTATTTTGTAACAGCTCTACTTATTGCCAAAATTGGGTCTTTATGCATATATATATGTATAATGCATACAACATACATGCAATTATGATAGCTGTTAATGTATCAGAATTGACTAAACACTACAAATACTGTTTCTCTTTCAAGACATGTACTCTCAAATGTTTTCATAACAACTTCTGTATTTATTTAGGAAAAATTCTACTGATAAAATACTACACACAGAAATATTTTTAAAATGGTGTTTAAGAATGCTGTTGATTTTTCAGAGACACAGTAACAATTAGAAATGCTCAAATGCCAAATTAAAATATTTGATCATAAAACAAATGCAATTACAGTTAACTTAGTTTCGAACTTGAAGATTGATTATCAAGTATAAGTAAATGTTTAATAAAAGAATTTCATGAAAACAACCTAAATTTGAAGTACAATGAAAATAGCTTAGTACAATGATTTTGTCAATGTATTCTTTATGTTTATTTATGGGAAATTAACAGAATGTAATCCTATGTTATGAATATAAAGGTAATTTTTATTTTAAACTCTCGCTAATTAAATATAAAAACAGTTACAAAAGTCTGAATATTTGGTGTAAAATTCGATTTTTCATTATTAAGATTAAATGCCTTTTCCACCGATTACTTTTCTTGATTTAATAAATCTCCTTTTGGTCTTTCTTACACCTTATACGAGTTTCACCCACTTTGGTAATATATACTGTGTGAGAATTTTGGAAAACTTAAGCGACTTCTCGTTATGTTTTGGAAATTACAACAGAGGTTTGGAATAGGTGTAAAAAAAAACCTTTTATAGACTCGGACAAATTAACAGAGTGCACAGCTTGTTCATACAGAATCAGCTAGCATTTATGACGTAAATCAAAAGTAACAAAATGAATTCACCTCATTTGAATACACTCAAAATTAGCATCCTGGCAGGAAAATGGAAAGGAAGAAAGAAAAGCTAATTATCATAAAATAGCTGGTTAAAAAAAATAAATGAGAATTCTACAACCTCAATTCACTATTTTAATTTAGCCATTTTCATTTTTATGCAGCCTTTATATCGAAGTATGCATTTGTTTTGGTGTCAATAAACTTAATTCTTTCATTTTTTACCCGATTACATAACATCACATGCAACAGCTGTAAATATGAAAAACACATGCATATATCCAGCAGCATGTTAATTTCTTTTGAATATATGGTGTCTGTCATCTACAAAAGAAAACTTAAAATTCAAAACATAGGTGTGAACTGTAAATTCAAAATATAAGATGTGAACATAGGTCTCCTGTTGGATAATATAAGAAAGTCACACTTTCTGGTATTACTATTATTTTTTATTATTTGTAGGACCTAAGGTCCTACAAATAATAAAAAATTAAACATTGTGTAGAGAGTAAAAAGCATAACGCAGAAACTTGTTGAAAAATTAACATGTATATCACTTTGCCCGAGTGTTATGGTCAGAATCCCATTCTGTATAATAATATATGCATTTGACATTAAGGTATTGCTAATTAAATTAACATTTAAATACTTCAATGAAATATTAAGAAAATGAGAAAAAATATGAATACTACTTACTGTATGATATGAATTTTTTAAAAGTGAGCTAATTAATAAACAAAGAGCAAAATATATAGTTCCATATTCCTTACGCTGAAGTCTACTTCATGCTTATTATATCATCATTAGTTATGAGGGCAGAACATTTGTGGTCTTCACTTTGCAAAATCATGAGGAACATTCTAATAATATAGGAAAATTTCATATAATGGCTAGTAGCTGAACTGAATGAAATGAGTATTTTAAATTCACTAGAAATTTAGGGTCGTGTAATGTTTAAATATTTTCAAGTTTTGGAAGAAACTATTTAAAATGTCTTCTTTTTTTGGAGGTGGGTTGCTTTAACTGCTTTTGGGTTGGGCTACAGATTTCAGCCATATAATCTCATAAATAGGATTTAAAGATTAATTTTTTAACCCAGGCAGATCATATTTCTTCATATGAAATTATTGTTCAAAATTTATTCACTGCCTTACTTATTCATTACACACAATATATTCATATACTAATTAATCATATATTAATACAATATTCAAATACTAATAATTAAATCCTTAAAAAATGTTCCTCTATTAAAAGGAAAAAACATTTTAAAATGTCCAATTGAGCAGTATTTATTTTACCTCAAAATATGTCACTATTGTATTATTTTTCAAATTCATTATTAATACATGAATTAAGTAAACTCAAGCATTATTTAGAATCGAGGATTAGTGATATGGGATGTTTAGAATGTTCAGGGTTTTATGGAAAAGTACTACTGAATGGTAAAAAGGTTTATTAAAATTCAAATACAGTAATTCAATGATGTAATATACACATATAATTAATATGCACAACAAACAATTAGTATGAAATGCATGACAGAGCAAGAATGAAAACATACATGAATTTACAATAACATAAGTTGCAAAATAAACAGAATACAGGAAAACTCACATAAAATTTACAATAATATGAAACAATTAAGTGTTATGAGTAATAATATTACTCAGATTTTTCTTTATAGTTAAATCTTCATTTTCATTGCTCTTTTAATATCTTGTGTTGGTGGTTGGCCTGCACGCATTCTTTAAGCGATAATCTCTGTGGCACTTCATCAAACCCTAAATTGTTGAAACAAACATTACCAAATGCTAACTTGTAATGACATTAATACATGCATCATAACAAATACACAATGAATATTAAGAAAATGTTAATGTACCAATATTTCTTGTTTCAGTAGTATCAATTCTTGAAATATCATAAAAGAGGAATTAGACATTTTTGATTAAACATTCAATTATACATCTATCAATTTCAGTGTTATAGTGTGGCACCAGGGTAACTATGCGAGACACACTAATCCCCTCGAAGATTTCTGATTTACAAAATAATTTTGGCAGTAACTTGTAAAGGCTAAATAATATTATCAAAAAGATACAATTCTTAAGTAATTACGTATATTTTTGCAGAAATACTTTGGAACTGTTTGAGCTGGTATTCGTGAGAATCCTTGAGTAATTTTTTGAATGCAGAATAGTTTAACTGAGAAACAACAGAATGCAGCCAAATGATATCCCTAAGTATTATTTCATTTCACTTTCTAATGCATGCATAATAGCATTAATTAAGAATTTAATAAAACATTAAAAATAATTACATGAAGCAAGATCTCTAAAATTTCAAAATTGCATATAATTAAAATCTAGTTTAATATCTGCAATACATTTTTAACTCATCATATTTTCATAAATTTAACTTTACAATCTAAGACTAATTACAATAAAGCATACTTTATGACAAAAGAATATGAACTTCCAGATAATGTGTATCATTTAGTCTGAGATTAAAAACTATGCTAGGAAACATTCTGGAAAACCATATTTAATACGTTTTAAACTATTTTACTTTCCTAGATAATCTCATCAAAATTATTAAATATTCATCAATCTTTTGATCGTCAGTTTCTGTTACCTGCCAGTGAGGTAGAATGTATTCACCAAGACACAAAGAATATGTATTACATACATGTAAAATATAGAAAATACAGTGGCTTTGCTCTGCGCGAGCATGCAACCTATAATTAACTTACTGCAGTTTCAGGATCTTATCCTAGACCAGTACTTTCGAGAACATTCTGGCATGTTATATAACCGCTAGTACACATACTGAATACGTGCCATTTTTCGTCAGACTGCTTTCTTCTACCGCTGCTACAAGACCTTGCAGCTGCTCCTCCCATCTTGTTCTTTCCTTTGTTAAAGCAGATATGACGTAAAGTCTAAATTTAATCTTACTTAGTTTAAATCAATATTGAATATATAATTTTGAGAATTTCATCTAAAGGCAAAATGATCTGCTGAGAGAATTGAATAAAGATGTGGGATCTAAAAAGCTAAATCCTTCTTTGTCGTCATTTTGCAACCTTCTATCCAGCCATAACAATGCCTGGCCTATGATGTAGTTATATTGTCAAGCTTTGGTCATTCCTGTGCCTGCCAAAATATTACATATACACGTATGAAAATTATTAATATAAGCTACATAATGTAATGATAATTTTCATACGTGTATAATTTTCTAATGATTGTTTTGTCACAGTAATTACAATAAAAGTCTGAAATATTGCCATGTCTTGCAAAATATCAACTAAATCTATACACAAGAATTTTCCATTAAAAATTTCTGTGCAGACCTGATAATCATTATATATACTGCTCTTTGTATAATGTACTGAACTGTAAAGCTCCAGGTATACAAAACATTTCAAGACACTCGATATTTATTCTGTTGCAGAAGCAAACTGTTTATTTTCAATATATATAATAATAAGCAAAGATGATACGTGACAAATCTTTCAGTTCTATAATTTTTATATCTAATATTCAGTGCACTATTATGCTAATAAGCAATCTTTATTCTCAAATCCTTGCATTATATGTTGGTGATTATGGGTGGTCTATTATTCATCTGTTTTCTTATCCGTCATGGCGACTACACACTAAGTCTGTTAATCAAAGCTCAAATGTATGCCTGTCTCGTGTAATTTTAAAGAAATATTTGAAGGAAAGATAGGTTAAATTACATAATAATTATACATACTTTGCCTGTGTGTTTACAGTCAGACATAATATTCAACAACTAATATGCTTGAAAATGCCCAAGTGGGATTTGAATGGCTTCAATAACATATACTGGAAAATTAAATAAAAGTATTATAAAATATTGTGCTCATTTGGATGGCTTAAATAATAGTTGTGTAATAAAAGAACATTTTAGGTTTGATATTAACTAATTAATTGTTTTTTTTTTTTTATCTCTTTGACCTTTAAAATGAAGAGGTAATGTTTCTAGTTGATATTATGTGAAAACCTGAAAAGCAAACAAAAACTACACTAAATCTAAAAATGTTTCCAAAGTTCACACATCTGCAAGAAACTAATAAGGTCAACAATGCCTGATTAACTGAATTTGTTGGCAGATGATGATTCAAATCTGAATATAGAAGACATGTAAACAGTATAAAAGCATATCAAATTTATATCAGTGTACGAGTCATCATATGTGTGAATGAGTGCGTACTATAAATTAAGTACAAGTCTTACTCTGAACTATTTAGTATGCTTATACACTAATTTTTGCATTTTCTTAATTCATATTTTTAATTAGCATTATTACAAAATTAAATAATATCTGTAATAATTGTAACTGAAACAATTGTATTTGAAATTTCACCTCTTTTCATAATAACCACAATTGCCTAGTACATATTCATTAGCAAAGCATACAATTAAGTGCTTCACAGTATTATTAACAGTAAGGATGCTATCACACGTCAGTTTGTTTCGGAAGAATAACTGTTTGGCACAATTTTTCTGCTTTGTCACAACAGCCAATTATCATAGATCACTTTGGGGTTAACATGGGAAACTGGTTCCCCATTACAAACAAGCTGATAGTTGATTGATTGAAAACGAACAATTTGCAATTTTTTTAGAAAGGAAGGAAAACGTTGCATGTCTTTCTTTCAATAGTAAACCAGGCAGAAAAATTGTCCGAAACAAGTTGTTCATGTGAAACAAATGCCGTGTGATAAGGGTCTCAGACATCATTACTTACATCTAACATTTCACTTCCAGAAACAAGGGTCAAAATTTTTCAGCTGCCATTCACTGTGCCAATGCCTGAAATTAAAAAAAATCATTTTATAAAAATCTTTAAAAGGATGATTCAAGTATTGAAAAATCTTAGATCATAACTTGGTCATACACACAAAATATATTATTTTTATACCAATAAAATAATATGTTGTTCAGTGCTGAATGAATTATTTAACATAGGAGAGGGTCAATGGTTGTGAAATCACATCATAATAATAAGAGAATTTATAAAAAATGAAATAAGGGTTTTTATTTTAATTTTTTATTATTTAGTTAAGAATAATTATCCTACTAACTTTAATTCATATATTCAACTCTGAAACACACTTTCTACAACTTATCTTTGGCTACTATAGTCTGTGTAGTCAGCTTGACAGATACAGTCAGCAAATGATGATTGACAGTCATAATTGTTTTCTTGTCGTCCTGGTACATGTGCAGTACACGTACATGTTTTCCTACAATTTGCATGATTGCATACATACTTTTTCACAGCAGAAATATACAATTTTATGAAGAACTAATTTGCAATAATATATAGCATACATGAAAACAATCCAAGCATACTTTAATATAAAGTGCAATTTTTATGTAATCATTGATGAAAATTACATACATCAAAATATACTTTATTGTTGACTTTACTATTACTTTAGGATTATTAAAAATCATCATCAATTCCTACATGCTGTACAATCATCTGCCTTTTAAAAATAGAACTTGTTACATTTAATATTTCAACAGGTTTTTCTATTCAATAGATATTTGATAATATAAGGAGTTAAGTAAATTTGAACTAATTATATTTTATTTTTACCACCAATTCTTTACAGTTATACCACAATTCATTACATTATTTTATATTAACTTCAACCAAAACATTTCAGCACATTTTGAGATAAAAGACTCAAGTACCTTGCATCAGTTTTAGCAAGCTGTAATAAAATTACGCTGTACATAACTTCTTTCTTCTTGAAGTTTCTCGAAAATGATGTTTCTTTTCGAAAAAATTAAAACAGTAAGGAAACAAATTTCTTAAAACATCTTTCTTAATGCTACATTATATAGAAATTTAGGAAATGTTAAAAAATGTTAATGAACTGTATATGTGTTAAAATACAATATATCACATATTGCACATATAACATATCAAATTTACTGAAATGGGAAAATATATACATACCTGAAAGCAATCTCGCAATAGCATTTGGTTTGAAGCTCGCGCTATCCACTGGAGCATCTGCATTTACGCTGACTTCCTTTACCCATTTTGTGCACTCTTCAATCGAATTTAAACTTGATCGTATCGTTCAACTTTCCAGTTGTTGCAGTACAGGAAAAAAATCTAATTTTACACAGTAATTACTTTACATTGCACATATACTCTACGAAGACTTAAACGCCGGATTTGTTTACAATCAGATGGCGGTACATCTACCACATACCGTATTTATCCTCTTTTCAAATCGCGCCAACATAATAATTACGCCAAATTTGTTTCTGGGCATGCGCAGTATGCGACATTCGTTTAACACTGTTCAACTCAATGTGCGGTTTGCCTCCAACTCCAACTTGCTTTATTTGCCGCGATTAACCTGCGAAATCGCAGGTTGTGTTCCGGCTATCGAACTTTGGTGCTTCTAGGAGCGCTGCAGGTAAGGAAATGCCGAACGTAGTTCTCGTGGAGACAGGATAGCAGGTGCAGGGGGTGTGACCAATGTCACATGATGAGCGATAAGACATCTGGTTGGCGATGAGGTATCCAGGCATCGTAGCGCTGTAAATCTGAAGGTTTACAGTAGTTATACATAAAATAGTACTAAATCAGTTCATAAAAGGTGTGTGTTGCAGTCATAAATGCAGAAAATAAAATACGATTCCAAAAAGTATAATAGTATATACAGGAAAAATATAAGTAATATCTTGTGGGCGTGGCTGTGTGTGTCACATGATCATCCGGCTAAGATTTCTAAACATCATTATTTACAAGTCAAATAAGTTTTTCAGAGTACTACATACTTAAAAACACAAATTATGTTGGAAAATCCTGGTTTCCACTGAGTAGAAAAAGCGGCATATGGACGGAGGTGCCTGTCCTCGTGTAAAATTTCATAGTGAAATAGGTTGAAAATGTCCATATGTTGGCACTCCTTAGCGGCGTCATAAAATGCCGTGTTAGTTCTTCTTAAATATTCCACTATTGTATCCATTTTTAAATCTTCATGGAGACGTTTGTTCTTCACATACGGGTGTGCATTTGTGATAATTCTTAAAAATTGGTTTTGCACAACTTGTAATTTTTGGATTTCACCCTTCGTAGCGGTAGTCCATGCTGGCGAAGCGTACGTCATGATGGGTCGGATTGTGGCTAGATAAATAAGTCGTTTCTTGTCCAACGAAAGTTTTGAATATTTCCCTATCATAGGATATAAACATTTCATGACTTTAATCGCTTTATCCCTGATTTGTTGGATGTGATGCTGCCATGTGAGCTTGTCGTTGATGGTGATGCCCAGATATTTGGCTTGTTTCACGATAGGCACAGCCTCGTTAAAAAGATAAACACTTTGCCTGATCGGAACATTTTTCTTCCTTTTCCTTATGAGTAGGAGCTGCGATTTTTGAGCGTTAATTCGTATCTTCCAATATCCACACCATTGTTCTATGGAGGGAATAGTGTCTTGGAGTTTCCGAATAGCATGATTGATGTTAGCAGACTTCACTGCCAGGGCAGTGTCGTCTGCATAACAGGCTAGCATAGAATTATGATTTAAATGCAATCTCGGAAAGTCTGAAACGTAGAATAGATAGAGTATAGGGCCAGTCACAGAACCCTGTGGAACACCGCTAGTCATTATTTTAGTGCTGGATAATTCATTTTTTACCGAGACTCTGAATGTCCGATCCCTGATAAAAGAATGGATTAGCAGAATGAGTTCTCTGTCCAGTTGAAGGTCAATTAATTTAGCAATTAAGCCCTCATGCCAGACGCGGTCGAATGCTTTCGCCACGTCTAGCATGAGTATAGCAACATTAAGTTTGCAGTGCAGAGCTGCACCAGCGAATTCGGTTATTCGGACAAGTTGCTTCGTTGTTGAGAGGTGAGCACGGAACCCAAATTGTTCCGGCGGAAGATGCTGAAAATATGGTTTCAGTCTATTCAGGATAATTCTCTCAAAAATTTTGCTTAAGCCCGGCAGTAGACTAATAGGACGATATCCGTCTGGTCGGGTGTGATCTTTAGCCGGTTTAGGTAGTAAAATAATTTTAGCAATTTTCCAAGGTGTTGGAAAGTAAGAAAGAGCAAGACAAGCATTAAAAATACTTGTCAGGCTGCAGATGATGTTAGGCGGCAAATTTTTAATTGCTGTATTGCTGATTTCATCAATTCCTGGAGATTTCTTTTGTCTCAGGTGTTTGATAATATTAGTCGTTTCAGTAGGAGTGGCATATTTAATTGGAAGTCTGACTGAAGGGGCGTTGAGCCAATCCCTCACTCGTAGGAGGGTCTTTAATTCGAAATCAGAGTCATTTGGCCAATCATTTGGCGAGAACTGTTCTTGGAGGTGTGCTGCGAAGATTTCTGCCTTTTCCTGATTGGAGATGGCAATATTACCTCTGTCATAGAGGGGTCGATTACTTGTGAAGGAAGTTTTAAAATTTTTGATTAAAGACCAGAATGTACCTTCTCTAGAATCCAGATTTAACATTTTATCATCCCATAGTTCTTCTTTGAAGGTTTTAATGGCCTTCTGAATTTGCTTATTTTTACGATTTATTTCACGTTTAAGTGCCGGGTCCCACGTTAAATGATAACATTTCCTGAGTCTATTTCGCTCTCTCATAAGCTGTCGTATATTAAGGGGCAGTCTGAAAGCCTTATCACGATTAGTAATTTCAGTACTGGCTTCCTTAATTGCACCTTGAATGCTTTCACTTAAGGCATTAATTACGGTGTTTATGCCTTGTTTGGTATTGAGATTTTGCAGTCGAGGAGGTGAGTTTTTCATGATATTGCTGAAGAGATTCCAATTCGTAATTCGCTTAGTAGAGAACTCAGAAGTTTTTGTCACTCCTAATGTTGCGATTACGGGGAGGTGGTCAGAGGACAATTCATGAAATACTTCCATTGCAACGGGGATAGTCGTTGTAGTGACTGCAATGTCTAGTATATCAGAAAATTCAATTCTATTATGAAGCCGCGTGTATTCTGGTGGGGCATGTAGCGCCACCGGATGCTGTAAAATATATTCATGGAGAATTTTACCATTTAGGTTTGTTCGACGACAGTTCCAGTCTATATGCTTAGCATTAAAGTCCCCGGCAGCAAGGGTAGGTATGTCATCCGGTAGAATGCTATTTAGAAAATTATCACATAGTCTATTCGTAGGAGGGTTATACACAGCACAAAAATTGATGTTATTAAACACAGGAAGAGTGACACACACAGTAGTTTGCTCACAATTAAAATTTCTTGAATCAGATATAAGACAAGATGCATAATTACGTTTCACATATATTGCCACACCACCACCTCTGTGTGAAAGTCTATCACAGCGGTATGAATTATAATTTGCAATTCTCAGGCGTTGGCATGGTTTTGCATGAGTCTCTGATATGATTGCAATGTCAATATCATGCTCACTTAAAAAATGGTGCAGTTCAGTAATTTTGGTGGGTAGCCCGCAGGCATTCCATATCATTATTTGTACGGGAGTACACTTTTTCATGTAATTAGCCATTAACAGGGGCTGCAGGAGTATGATCTTGAGATACGTTTGATTTTGCCATCAGAGTAAATCCAGTTTCTTTTAGAGCAGAGACAAGCATACGTAGCTCAGCTGCAACTTGTTTTGCTTCAGTTAGAAATTCAGGAGCGAGGCCGGTGTTTAAAGCTTGTGCATAAGTTTTATTATGCACTACCCGATCAGAGAACGTTTTCACAGCCGGAGTGGTTTTTGGTTTTGGAAAACGCACACATAATCTGTAGTTAGCTGTATGACCTATCTCATGACAATTGGCACATTTAGGCGGAGTTGCCTTATCCTTGTCACAGTTAAATGATTCATGAGGTTCACCGCAACGAACACAACGTGGTTCGTGATTGCAGTGCGATTGGGCGTGATGGAACCCTTGACAGCGATAACACTGCAAGGGTCCCTTACGGCCACGGTATCTCTCAACACTAATCTTCATTCCCAGCACAAATTTTAACTGGTGTATCTCCTTGTTTTTCTCCTTGCGGGTGAGAGTAACGAGAAACAGGGGAAGCTTAATAACTTCTCCGTTACGCCTGATAGTGAGTTGGTTGACCCGCACGACGTCGAGTCCATGTTCTTTTAAGATCCATCATAATTTCCTCAGGGTCCATGTAAGACGGGAGGTTACGTA